TTGGAAAAGAGTGTTTGTGATGATCAGCTTGTTCTCTTGACAAAACTCTATTAGCCTTTGCCTTGCTTCGTTTTGAACTCCAAGGCCAAACATCCCTGTTGTTCCTTTGATCTCTTGACTCCCTCCTTTAGCATTCCATTCCCCTAGAATGAGAAGAACATCTTTCTTTGGTGTCAGTTCTAGAAGGTGTGGTAAATCTTCATAGAATTGGTTAATTTTTAGCTTCTTCAGCATGGGTGGTTGGGGCATAAACTTGGATTACTGTGATGTTGAAAGGTCTGCCTTGGATTTGTATTGAAATCATTCTATCATTTTTGAGACTCTATCCCATTACAGCTTTTCCCACTCTTTTGTTTACTATAAGGACTACTCCATTTCTTCTTCGAGATTCTTGCCCACAATAGTAGATATGATAATCATCTGAGCTGAATTCGCCCATTCCTGTCCATTTTAGTTCACTGATGCCCAGGATTTCAATGTTTATTCTTGCCATCTCCTGTTTGACCTCATCCAGCTTACCAAGGTTCATAGATCTTACATTCCAGGTTCCTATGCAGTATTTTTCTTTGCAGCATTGGACTTTCCTTTCACTTCCAGGCACGTCCACAGGTGAGCGTCCTTTCAGATTTGGCCCAACCACTTCATTAGCTCTGGAGCTACTTGTACTTGTTTTCCACTCTTCCTCAGTAGTATGTTGGACGCCTTCCAACCTGAGGGGCCCATCTTCCAGCGTCATATCTTTTAGCCTTTTTTTTCTGATCATGGGGCATTCTCTGCCAGTTCCTCCTCCAGGTAGATTGCATTTAGTCGGAACTCTCCACTATGACTTGTCCGTCTTGGGTGTCCCTGCACGGCATAGCCCATAGCTTCCCTGAGTACTCAAGCCCCTTCGCCACGACAAGGCAGCAATCCGTGATAATACCATCTTTACCATCTTTCTAAACATAAGGAGGGAAGGAGCCTGGCGTATCTCTGCTGGCATTTTATTACTTCTCACATCATTGTTGATGCACATTCACTGTTAGCATGGGACCTAACCAGAACAATCAAACTACCCCTGTCTCCAGTGCTTGCTTATGTAACTACAGGCAGTATATACAACTTGAGCTATAGAAAGCAGATGTTTTTCTATCTCAGACATGTCACTTTGGTAAAGTATGAATTGGGCCTAAAAAGGAACTGGAAACTGGCTATTCCTTTCATATCAACTCTTTCACTATTTCAAAGACGACTCAGAGGTGGGAACAGACAAGATAAATACTAGATTGTCAGAGGTTCCATTTTTCTGCACTCGGCATTTGTATCAGGTGCTTTTGCTCCAGTTTAAGAAAAAAGAAATTCTTTAAGGGAAAAGTCAACTGTTACAGAGGGAGACACATAGACACATGAAGAGGAACACTAACAATAGAACCATGTTTTTGCTCAGTAAGTGGCATTTATCCCTGCTGAAAGTGAAAATTGACTTTTCAGTGGACTGGGAGTGCACATAGCCTCCCATCTGAAAGATTAGAAATAGAAATGTATGAAACCAAAAACAATTTTTTGTAATTGTTTGCATACATACTCATGCACATACACTCATAATAATCACCCTCAATTTCATGCTTGTTGCAGAGAATGCAGTAAACTGCCCCGTTCAATAATGCTTCTTTCTTTCTTTTTTCCTCTTGAGGAAATCATCTTGTTTAAGCTGCTGAATACATCAAAATTGAACGCTCTGCAGTTTCTCATTCACTGAGGCGTGCTGCTTTTGAAGTGCAAATGACTAAACCTACTCTCACAATTTATGCAAAGGATGGTGCATCTGCAAGTCGGGACAAAGGCAATCATGGAAGTTGGCAATGGGAAAGTTCTATTAAATCATCCACTCCATCTCCCTGCCAGGGCAGAATTATTCTTTTCATGGATAAATGGCTACAGACTGACCTTATTCTTTACATTTCAAAAGACAATGAACTCCACACTGAGTTTCTGTAGAAGGTCAGCCATGTTTGAACCTGACCACTTTATCCAGAAAATACCTCAAAACGTCACTCCCCCATCACCATCATCACCACCCTGCACAGAGCAAGAGGTAGGATTCCTCAAAGTCGCCACCTGTGCACTCCAAGAAGGTGCAAGAAAGTGTTTACTATTTATCCCCTGGGATTGATCCCTGTCAAATTGTTTAACCCTTCTAATCTTACGTATGATGAAGAATGCAACAGCTACACAGCACTTTGACATCTGTTCTCCATATTCTGGTGGCAGGCACATAACTCTCACAACACATGCGAAATTTAAGTGACAAACAACAAGTGCTGAGAGGGGGAAACACAAGGCTGAAGCTTGCTCCTGTGTGGCACTGGTCAAAATCCTGCTGCTATTACATACACTAGAATAGGTCCATAGAATTAATGGGAATTGGGTGAGTCAATTCCTCTGCAAATTCCATTGATTCAATGGCTTTACCCTAGTGTGATTTACTATGCTAAGCAATAGGATTTTGCCCACTCTGTTTAGAGTCTACACAAGTGTAAATAATGCGCATTAAATGCTAATTATTTTTACTTACACCTTTTGACAGGAGACAGCAGGGAGCGAATTCAATACATACCATGTGTTGTACTACCAGACTTTGGTGCTTTAGAAAAGTTTCAAGCCACTAATAACCCCACCCTTCCCAAAAGGTCATTACACTAGTAATTTGGGCTGTCGGGTTGGTATCTTAATGATGGTTCTAGCTAGAATAGACACAGAATTATTTTCTGAATTGTAAGTCAACACTTACGTAGATTCTATTGAGTCTATTGGTGTCATCTAGTTGGGGCTGCCACAACTAGCCTTAAACAGCAAGGAGACCTATCAAAATTCTTAAAAGTAAAATTTAGAAAAAACATTGGCCCAAAACTCCTTGAATCCTCTGATCCACATAGGCAAATGGCACTTCTCAAGATTTGAGGCATAAATGTCTTCCACTTAGAACTCAAACTGTGCTGGAGAAACGAGCATGGCCAAATGGAGACAGGAATAAGTTTGATATACTGGAGTTCCAACTCTAATTTTAGTCATAAAGTAACATGGTGATGCAGCTTAAATGTTATCAGGGTCTACTTCCAAGTAAGTGTGCATAGGATGGAAATGCAAAAGCTGCTCTGCCGTTTTGACACCGGGCAAGCTGACTTTTTGAACTGTGGTGCTGGAGGAGGATCTTGAGAGTCCCCTGGACTGCAAGGAGAACAAACCTATCCATTCTAAAGGAAATCAACCCTGAGTGCTCACTGGAAGGACAGATCCTGAAGCTGAGGCTCCACTACTTTGGCCATCTCATGAGAAGAGAAGACTCCTTGGAAAAGACATTGATGTTAGGAAAGTGTGAAGGCAAGAGGAGAAGGGGACAGCAGAGGACAAGATGGTTGGACAGTGTCATCGAAGCAACCAATAAGAATTTGACACAGCTCTGGGAGGCAGTGGAAGATAGGAGGGCCTGGCGTGCTCTGGTCCATGGGGTCACGAAGAGTCGGACACGACTGAAGGACTAAACAACAACGAAGCAGACTCTGACTGCAGCAAATCCCAAATGGAAGTATGAGAAGACGAAGCTGACTTTGCAGCAAATCCCAAATGGAAGTATGAGAAGACTCAGTGTTTTGTCACTGCTTTTCAAACAAAACCCAAACTGCTTTCAGCCGTTCCCAGAGAAAACAGCTGCAGATGTTAAAATTTTTATAAAGCAACAATCGAGACATCGTTAAAAAAACCCTCCAAGTACATAAAACAAAACATCTCACATGGAAGATCTGATTGGAAATCTTTGCAGCTGTGTCAAAGTCCCACGCAATGATGGTACGGTCAGCTGAGTCTTGGCTTACTGCATCGGTGCTGGTGAGAAATTCTTTTCCTCCAGGGAGGAACATGATATCCAAGGTTTGCTGAACTGCAGCTTTGTAGACTTTTATTACCTGCAATGCAAAAATACCATAAAATTACCATTGTTCCAGTGGCTTCTCAGCTGTATCGTCTTTTCAGACAGAACCATGCCATTTTAATACAGAAAAGTTGTGGCTGACAGGGAGAAAAGGAGGAATGAAGTCAACTCACAGTGGGAATGAAAAGAGAATGAGTTTTCAGACCATGCCATCTTTCTGCACAATCTTAAAGTTGATTCTTTGATAACCAACAAAACTATTTCCATCAGCCGAACCTGGGTGAATCAAGTGGTGCCAATGTCGGTATTGCTTCTCCCCTACCCCCACCCCAGATCTGTCTCCGTCAACAACCATTCCAACTGGCTACTTGGGTGGAGAATGAGCCCACTCCATGGACCTGGTAGAGACCAACTATCTATGGTTCCTCCTCTGGCAGAACTACCATGTGTTTCTTTGATACCATTTTAATTAAACTGTAAACCCTTATTTTGAACGGTTGGCCTAAGGATGATATACGCAATGTATTCTTCAAAGCTTTTACGTCTGGGATCAGATGGTTGTAGGTTTTTCAGGCAGCTTGGCCATGTTCTGTAGGTTTTTCTTCCAAACATTTTGCCAGTCTCTGTGGCCGGCGTCTTCAGATGACGAGTTAGAACTCTGTCTGGACATGACATCCTATTTCAAAATACAGAAGTACTGGAGAACACCAGCAATCATTATGTTAGACTACACAGAGAAGCCATTGAAATCCACAAGCATCAGCACAGCTTGAACAAAAAAGAAGAAAGTCTAAAACTCAACAAAGCCTGGCTCCCAGCACTGAAAAATATAGCCTGCAAAAAAGGTCAACAAACTACCCAACCGGTGATCACAGTACACAATACATTACCTAACGACACCCATCAATCACAGTGACAGATCATCTCCCCTCTTATCACAACAATAAACCCATAACAAAAAACATCCTGATCACCATAATTACCCAATCTCCTGAAAAGGTCAAAAAGCTGGTCCCACAACCACAAATACTTAACTATCCCACACACTACACCAGAACACAGGCAGAGTTCTAACTCCTATCCTCTGAAGATGCCGGCCACAGAGACTGGTGAAACGTTAGGAAGAAAAACCTACAGAACATGGCCAAACAGCCCAAAAAACCTACAACCACCATCGGATGATATACACACATTGTAAATGAATAAAATAACAAAACTCTCACATATGATAGATTCCAGCTTAGCAACTTCCAAGGGTCTTGGCAAGGTTTTCCTGGTCTTCGCAAAGTTTTTCCAAGGGCCAATTTCAACCCACATCTAGCTCTTTTCCTTTATGGCATTGGGGGAAAACATCCAATGTAAGTTAAATTCCAAAGAGTACAGATTCTAAGACAGCATCCCGGAGATAGACTCTTCTCTCTCTCACTCACTCTTTCACTGTCATTCTCTCCATGTATACATACATAATTTATCCATACATTCTCTACTCTTTCACCAAAAATGAAAAAAAAAAGGTAATATGACAATCCCTATCCTCAGGGCTATAGTCTTAAATTTAAGGCATAATATAAAAGAAATACGGGATGAAAAGGAGGACAATTAAGTTCAAAACTTATAATGACCAGCCAGATAAAACAGTTGAAGCAACTTTCTGGCCCTGGTGTGCCAGCTCATGATTGAGTGAGGAAAGAGGAACATCTTCCTCTGTCACTGCTTGCGCTCCTCTCGCTGCTGCACTGTCTCTCAGCAGCGATCTGGCAAAATGCTTTTCCAAGCTGCTATGCATAGAAACAACTGGTTCTTCTGAGGGTTGTCTTGTGATGTGATGAAGGAGGCTTTCCTCTGTTCCCTGCCAGTGGCTCAAATGAACCACAAACTACAGGAAAGGAAACCTGGAACAGTTGCACTTCATAGCTCAAGGGAGTGTGGGTCTTAGCAGCAGGATAGAGCTCGTCTTCTGGTGTTCTTTTTCCCTCTGTAACCAGGGCAGTAGTAGTTGGAAGTGCTGGAGAAAATAACAATCTTGCAGCTGAGTGTCCTTTCAGCTTTGGCCCAGCCACTTCATTAGCTCCGGAGATACTTGTACTTGTCCTCTGCTCTTCCTCAGTAACATGTTGGAGCAGTAGAGGGAGAGTAATATTAATTATGCTTCCCAACTGACAATGGAGCTATAAACCATTAAGTCCAGGGCATTTTAAAAAGCATATGTTTACAGGGTATAACTGAAATTCTGCTCTCAGTTTTCTGCAAATAGACCACTAAATTCATTGGTGTCTACTTCTATGTAGGGCCAGCTTGCGAAACATCCATAAAGGCGCTCTTTCAGTCCACTAAAATACAACCTTTCTAAATACAGTATACAAGCTAGGCCTTGCTAAATACAGTAAACATATTTAAATATTCTTGTGCTTAAAATGCTGCAGCTCTGTGTGCCCTTCCTCATTAATAATATCTACATTTGACACACCCTTGAATTCCTCTTGCAAGTCCTTGACTGTGCTCTCATGCTGCCTGACCACATTTTCTCAACTATGCCCTAATGTTGCTCAGTCACACCCTTACAAAGTCACATGTGTCCCTATGTCCATCTGTGGTGTTGGAGGGCACTAAACAGAATACAACCAAAATGAAGAGATGGTGTCTGTTACAGTGGCTGAAATCCTGTTGCTTAGCATAGCAAGTGACAACTAGAGTATGCCCATTGAATCAATGAGGATTAGCTGAGTCAATTCCTCCATAAATTCCATTGATTTGATGGGTCTACCCTAGCTGCAAATTATTATACTAAACAATAAGATTTAAGCCACAGTCTCAGAAAAAAACTGCCAGGAATACAAAACAAATAAGGCTCTTTTCAGTATTTACACACTAATCGTCAACTGATGCTTATTCCTGCAAATAAATAACTGCACTTGAATAACTCAGTAAGAAAGGAAGGGAGCATTACCAGGGGAGCAAATGTAAACTACTCACTGGGAGAACAATTGTCAAAATAAATAATATTTTACATATCAAATCAGCCTCCACTGCTGCTAGTAGATGCCTTTGGAATGAAAATATGGGTTGGGGTGGCAGGAGAAGAGAGAGGGGCTTGTACCAGGAATTTGTGAATGATTTAGAGTTGCACAAAGAATGTGTGGGTTTCCAACTGGGAAGGGGGCACTCCAGCCATAGCACTGTACAGGAAACAGTTGCTTGGCAACAGGAGTCTTCAGAAAAGAGAGGAGTTAACGTTTACAGTTGGAAAGATCAGAAGGGAGAGAGGAGCACAAAAAGTGCAGTGAAGGCGAGACAAGCAAACAGAGCGACAGAAGCTAATTAGCAGCTGGGAGGGACATAAAAGCATGAGTGGGGGGAAGCAAGGAGTCCCAGCACAAGCCTTCATATGTCGATCATTGATTAAGATGGTCCAAAAATAAAATAAAATCCATAATTAGGCCTCTCTCAGTCTTTGTTTGAAAGCCTTACAAAACGTGTCTATTCATGAAAGTATTGCTTACGAGTTATGCCCTGGGGTATGCTACATGGAATTTTCCCCCTCTTCCATATTGGTTGCAATTTCAGGGTGGAACTGCGTTGTTATTTTTTTTGTGGGGGAGGGGTGAGCCTTGAGAACAATGAGGAGTGGGAGGCAGGGAGGAAGGAAAGGAAGGAGAGACTAGAGAGCAAGATGAATGTCGTCATCATCTTAGAACTGAGTCCCACTCCTGTTCATTCAAATAATTTATTGTCATTGTAAATATATACATAGTATACCCATACAACGAAATTCACACAGGCACCCAGAAACCAGACCCACATGCACAGATGTAAAAATTCCCTGAACACTCCCCATCCACTAAAAATCCCCACTAAGAGTACAAACATCTACACCGCAGGCTAAGTAACACAGTCCAACTAACTATTCACTACTGGTGGTCTTTAAGCTCATTATTAAGTGCAATTATAGCTCTGGGATAAAAACTATTCGGAAAACCTGTGGTCCGACTCACAGTAGGGAGCTGAACTTCCAACCTCTGGCTCTCCAGCCGGATACATAAACAAATGAGCTATCCAGCAGTTCTTTCAAATTTCTACTTCATAGAATCATCATCAGGTCCTTTCATGAGGGAATGAAGGGCACTGTAGTTTTTGATGGCTCAACACCAGAGCCTGTGTCCTCATGCCGACCCTGTTTGGGATCTTCTTTGCTGTCATGCTGAAGCAGGCCTTTGGAACTGCAACAGAAGGTGTCTATCTCCGGACTAGATCAGATGGAAAGCTCTTTAATCTCTCTAGACTGAGAGCAAAGACCAAAGTTCAGCTGAAATGCATGCGGGACTTCCTCTTCGCCGATGATGCAGCCATTGCTGCCCACTCTGCCGAAGACCTCCAACAACTCATGAATTGTTTTAGCAAGGCGTGCCAAGACTTTGGACTAACGATCAGCCTGAAGAAAACACAAGTCATGGGCCAGGGCGGGGACTCACCTCCTTCTATTACCATCTCCACACAAGAATTGGAGGTTGTCCATGAATTTGTGTACCTTGGCTCAACGATATCTGACACTCTTTCCCTAGACGTCGAGCTGGATAGATGCATTGGCAAAGCAGCTACCATGTTCTCAAGACTCACAAAAAGAGTATGGCTCAATAAGAAGCTGACAGCATACACCAAGAGCCAGGTCTATTGAGCCTGTGTCCTGAGCGCACTCCTGTACTGCAGTGAGTCCTGGATGCTTTGCGCACGGCAGGAGAGGAAGCTGAACACCTTCCATATGCGCTGCCTCCGACGTATTTTTGGTATCACCTGGCAGGACAAAGCTCCAAATAGAGTAGTCCTAGATCGAGCTGGAATTTTTAGCATGTATACACTACTGAAACAGCGACGTCTACGTTGGCTCGGGCATGTTGTGAGAATGGCTGATGGTCAGATTCCAAAGGATCTCCTGAATGAAGAATTAGTGCAGGGAAATCGTCCCCAGAGGGAGACCACAGCTGCGATACAAGGATATCTGCAAGCGGGATTTGAAGGCCTTGGAAATGGATCTCAACA